TAAGTATAATTGATGAAACTGCAATACTGAAGTACATTAGACAATAAATAAATTACAAGAAGATAGGACATGTGGTTATAAATACGGTATGATGATGGACAATTACTTTGTGTTGAATACTTGCCCTAGCTACCTTTTTGATGGAATAATCGTCCCCACCCTCCTCGCAACAATGTAAAAAACAAACAAACATACAACCCTCTCGTCAAAAGTATACACACATTGCGTTTAGATATGAACAATTAACAATTATTATTATTTTATTTTTTATTTAAGTAATCGATTATTTATTATTATATAATCGATTACCGATATACAGCAATAAAATGTTCGCTGATTAAACTAATATCCGGTATATTTAACTTGTTAATAACAATCATACTTATAAACGATGTTTTTTAAATATTTATTCATTATTTGTAAGTAGAAATTAATTTTTGTTCTTCTTTTGAATACTAAATAGCGTTAAAATGTGTAATTTTATATGTGCCAACTGGAAATATATATGTATATTGTATTGTATATTAAACATGGCGGACCTACCCGAACAAACGGACGTACGGCACGGACAACCCAGTCCTTCTGACTGCGTGTAGTCGAATTGATGCCTATAATACATAGTTTTTGGAGTCCATTGAAAGATGGACTTAAATTTTTATGAAATGAAAGAACATTAGCTTTAATACATTGTCTCGTCTTAATCATAGAAACTTTATCACATTATATCATTCGTATTACTGCTCATTACATTCAAGATTCAAATGAGGTTTTATTCACGACTTGTCAAAAAGTCCAAAGACTAAAAATGCAAGTTTACACCACTTTCCAGACTTCTGTTCATGTCCACCTTTCTCCCTACTCTTATTCTGTAATCGAAATGGTTCTATTGAAATGATGATTCACAAGGTGCGTGGAAAGAGTGCTTTATTTACGGATTTTTTTTTTTCTTCAGATATAATTAATTCAGAATTCTCAAAGTATCATAAGACAGGATACATAACATATCCGTGTTCATGTCCAATTTCGAACAAACTTCTACCTTTCTCCCTACTCTTATTCTGTAATCGAAATGGTTCTATTGAAATGATGATTCACAAGGTGCGTGGAAAGAGTGCTTTATTTACGGATTTTTTTTTTCTTCAGATATAATTAATTCAGAATTCTCAAAGTACCAAGATGTGATGTAATTGGCAGTAATACAGACAATAATAATAATAATATGTCTTGTTTACCCAGGGTAGCCTCATCAGTTTTCATACTGTTCTCCCTGAGGGCCCTGCAATCATATTATTACCCCGGTCAGTGGCGGATCCAGGGGGGGGGGGGGGGGGGGGGGTGCAAATTTTAAAATTTTCGAGGACCAAAAAAAAAAAATTGTGCTCACTACCCCCCCCCCCCCCCCCCCCCCCCCCCCCCACTGAGCGACTTTTCGGCTGGCTGAGTCGTTGCGATTTTTTTTTTGGGACTCCAAAAAAAAAAAAAAAAAATGTCCGCTTACCCCCCCCCCCCCCCATCCCCCCCCCCCCCCCCCCCCCCCACTGAGCGACTTTTCGGCCGGCGCGATTTTCAAATTTTCGGGAGCAAAAAGAAAAAAAAAGTTGGGCCCCCTCCCCTAAGAAATCCTGGATCCGCGCCTGACCCCGGTCATCGGATTCAGGCTTACCCGCACACAATGTATGCACATTCTCCACTCCCTGGGGAGCATATCAGCCAGTGCACTATTTTTACAAGCGCACTTGCTAATCTAAGCACATTAGCTTTCGCATCATGATATACATAACATGATAAGTTTTCGACGAGACTTGTAAAATAGCTTAAAGATAAACTTGAGTTCTGGTAAAAAAAGAAAATGAATTCTCACAGAATCTAACGAAACTTACACTGAATGTTCAAGATTACAAATAAATGTCATGTGCTGAACACTTTTGGAAGAAAATGTATACTGGCTGAGTAATGAGCATTGAAAGATAAGGAAATCAGGGTAATACTAGCCCCGACACCATGTGTGTTGTCCCATATACATCTTTCTGTGTAAGTGATTGTTACTTTACCAAGACTCTGCCAAAGTTATGATTTTGATGACTCCAGAGCCTTGCATTACACACCATTACTTACATGCTATATGATCAACTTTTCTGATCCATTCCACACCTTTTCTTTAACAATGCAATCGCATTACCAGAACTCAAGTTTATCTTTAATGTTCGTTCATTTCATAAGGTAAAGTAAGTCCATCTTTCAATGGACTCCAAAAACTATTAATTATAGGCATCGGATTCGACTACGCGCAGTCAGAAAGACTGGGTTGTCCGTGCCGTCCGTCCGTTTAATTCAAGGTTGTCCGCCATGTTACACCTACAATACAATATACATATATATTTCCAGTTGGCACATATGAAATTACGCATTTTAACGCTATTTAGTATTCAAAAGAAGAAAAAAATAAGTTATACTAACAACTATTAATTATGTATTTAAAAAACATCTTTTATAAGCATGATTATTATTAACAAGTTAAATATAACGGATATTAGTTTAATCAGCGAACATTTTATTGCTGTATATTAATAATCGATTATACAATAAAAATAATCGATTACTTACAAAAAGTTTTTAATTGTTCATATCTACATGTACATGTACATGTACATGTGTATACTTTTGACTAGAGGTTTGTATGTTTGTTTGTTTTTTACATTGTTGCGAGGAGGGTGGGGGACGGTTATTCCATCAAAGGGGTAGCTAGGGCAATTATAATTTGGCAAAACTTCATCGCTTCTATTCAAAGGGCAAGTCAACTCCTTAGTTTTAATAGAAGCAGAAATAAAATCAGACAAACCGATCAAAAAAGTTTGAGCAAAATCGGATAACTAATAAGAAAGTTATGAATCTTTAATGACATGAAAATCTTTGAGAATGACAGGACAAATTCGCAACTCACCCATGAGTCTGTGACGTCATTGCCTCACTATCCATATTGATAATATAAATTCCAATTTTCCTCCTAAAAAATCTTATTTTCTAACACCAGCATCCAAGTTATATTGATAGTAATATGTTCTTGTGTGGATGCATTATTTGTTTCAGTTAAATCATGAAAAATGTGAAATTTGATACACTATTTACATAAAAATCAATTATTATGAATGTAGAATGTACAATATTCAGAAAATAGTATCAATTCTTCAAAGTTCATAACAGATTTCATGAAATTTTGTGCACGCAATAAATTATGATACAAATCATATACCCTGGGCAAAGGCATGGGGAAATCAAGTTTTGGGGCATAAAAAGGGAAATTAATGGGATAAAAAATATCGAGGCAATGACTTAACAAACTGATTTTCTAAGTTCTATAGTTGTTCATACTTTTAAAAAAATCGTTACTTCCTTATTAGTCCTTCTACACTGGACTGAAAGAAGTCTGGGGCCCCAAGACAAGGAGTACAGTTCATCTCAAGTCCCTGGACGGTAACACAACCTTTTCAGACAACAAAAGGGTGCTTGAACGATGGTCGCACAAAGCATTTTGAGACACTACTCAACCAGCCAGGAGATATCGAGCCTGCAGCGCGTGATAGGATTAACCAGCGACCTGTAATTACTGCACTCGATGATATTCCAACACGAAAAGAGCTAAACCTGGCAATTGCCTCCTTGGGTGATGGCAAGGCTCCCGGAGTGGATGGGATACCAAGCGAGATATGGAAGCACGGAGGAGCCACACTAACCAACAGTTTACTAGTGCTGATGCAACAAGCATGGGCAGAAGGCTCCGTACCTCAAGAATGGAAGGATGCTAATATTGTCGCCATCTCCAAAAAAGGAGATATAACTCAATGTGGAAACTACAGAGGAATATCGCTATTGTCAATAGCGGGGAAAGTTTTTGCCAGGATCCTTCTGAACAGATTGAATGCCCACATAACACCAGATATATTGTCGGAGACGCAGTGCGGATTTAGGGACAACCGGAGCACAGTAGATATGATCTTCTTCCTCAGACAACTACAGGAGAAGTGTATTGAGCACAACCGATCCCTCCATGTGGTTTTTTTGTCGATTTCACGAAAGCCTTTGACACTGTTGGTAGGACAGGTCTTTGGCAACTACTCCGAAAGTATGGATGTCCCGAGAAGTTCACCGGAATGGTAGAGTCCTTATACATACGGGTATGATGGCTAAAGTCAAGGAAGCAGGCGAAACATCCCATAGCTTCCCTGTAAGTAACGGTGTAAACAAGGATGTGTGTTGGCCCCTACGCTGTTCTCCATCTTTCTCTCGGCGATGCTGGAGGAGGCCTTTGCGGAGTTTGAGGAGGGCGTATATACATACAATCACGTCAAGACGCCGACCTATTCAATGTCGCACACTTCAAAGCTAAGACGAAGTCTACACATATTCTCGTGAGGGAACTCCTCTTTGCAGATGACAGTGCTCTTGTTGCTCATACACCAGAGCGGATGCAACATGTTATAGATGTATTTTCATCAGCATCAAAGAAGTTCGGTCTCCAAATAAACATAAACAAGACTGAAGTACTATTCCAACCAAGTACAGACCATCGAGAGGAGGAGGAGATCCTAGTGGATGGGACAGCCCTAAACCAGGTAGATGACTTCACTTACCTCGGCAGCACTATATCCAAAGACGGACGCTTTTTTTTTTTGGGGGGGGGGGGGGGGGGGGGGGGGGGGGGGTCTCGAAATTTGAAAATTTGAAGAAAAAAATTCGTTGGGGGGGGGGGGGTAAGGTCACTTTACGTTAGCCGTGGGCATAATTTTTTTTTTTTTTTTTTAATTAAAAAAAAACAAAACAAAAAAACAAAAAAATAAAACAAAGGGGGGGGGGTTTAGTTTTTTTTAGGGTGGTTTACACACATAAAAATACCAAAGGGGGGGGGGGTTTGAACCCCCCCCCCCCCCCTGCGTACGCCCCTGGATATGACTGTCATGGAGTTGGTTCCATGAAACGGCCCCCTGGAGAGCCATCACGCTGTTGCTTCTCTCCAGGCCAGGTGTATTTTCCTTTTCCTTATTTCATTTGTGTCATTGAATACATCATTTCAACTGAAATCGAAAACGCCGAGACCACGCTTCGTTTTACAATTTGATAATTTGAAACGCTTTGAATTAGAGTCTTTTACAAATATGGTAAGTTAATAAAAATCACACATTTATCGTCATTTATGTGTACTTGTACGTTAAACGAAATGTTTAAACATCGAATTCAATCTTGTCGGACGCCCAAATTGTCATTGTAGTCCCATGGCTGTTAATTCATGTATGGCCTATGGTACAGGCGCACGGAGCAGGCCAGGATGGAAGATTAACATCGCTTTGTTAAAGTTAGAGGCACATATCTTTACTGATGTTGTGCCTGAAAAGAAGAGAAAGGGGCCATAAATTAAAACTTAAGTTTGGGGGAAAAAACACCATTAAGATAAAGTATGTAAAGGAGCCGGTAATCGGCCAGCTCCAGTTTTCGGCCGATTGGTTGGATGCAAGGTAAAATCCCTCTAAAATACATCGCATAAATCCATAATAGCATAACACATATCCCACACATACCATACCATGCCAGTGTCACTGAAGAACCACATTTGCAATGAAAAATATATTCTAAAATATCACATTTTAGTGATGTAATCGGCCGTCCCGCTACCCGAATCTGAAAAATCGAGTATCTTACGCGTGTCTGTAAGAAATATGGGTACCAACCATAAAATGAGCTTTATTTCAAGTATTTTTCAGATTTAGAGCCTGATTTTGTGCTAGTCGCAAGCTCAAAAGTATCTCATCGCATGTATTAAATCAATGCAGCCGCACACCACAACGCACACACGATATCTCTATCTAATTCAGATTCCAATATCCGATCACCGCAGTACTAGTTTTCGGCCTCGCGAGCTCCGGCGTGGGATATCTGCTAGTGCTATAGATCAGCGCGGAAACGCACGGCGCGTGCGCGCGCTTCCTATTGACTTTGTACATGCGGCCGAAAACTGGTACGCTATGCCGAAAACTGACTCCGAAACAGTGAAAATTGAAATGAATATTGTCATGGCAATTCGTGATTTTTTTTCTGGGATTCTTGTTTTGTTTAAATAATAATAATATTTGCTTGATGATTTGAACAAAAAATGATAATAAATAGGAAGTAAAGGGTCCAAAAAATAGGATTTTGTCTTAAGTGGCCGAAAACCGGCTCCTTTACTCTAGGGTAGAGTGCCCAGTATTCGGTCACTTAAGTTAAGACAAGGGGAAATCACTAATATTTTGAATTCTTACCTCTTTTATTTTGCAATCTACCCATCAAAAGAAAAGAAAATTATTCCTCTAACAGGATTTTATTGTCACTTAAAATAAAGAATGATGATAAGAAAAATATTTCTGAAAGAAGACGGAGCATTTTATTGCCCAGAATTCGGCCGCGCTGATTAGAATTCGATCACGCGATTTGTGCTTGGTATCTCCGTTGCCAAGGAGCCAAGCGTATTTGCGCACTATTTTCACACAATTGCATGGTAAAGCACTGATTGTCAATGCGTTGACCGAATACTAGACTAGCGATACCGCATGGCAAGGGTATGGTATAAACACCTCTTGCACATCGGCAAGTGCGTCATTTGCAAATTCGCTGCGATGGAGCGAACACGGAAGAGCTCCTCTTCACACAAATACTAAATTCATTGCGACAGCACACATAGTTGTTTCGCAATACAATTTAGACTTCTACATATTGCTATGCATGTTAGCGCATGTGCTAACAGAACGCGGAAGTGCAGAAAGTTGTGCGACACTGACCAATTTCGAGCCAAGTTGGAGATCTTTGAGGGGCCCTATATCTGATTTAATTTTGAGAGTTAAGAAAAGTTGTTCAGCTGACTGATTTGTGCAAGTTTCGCGGCTCATTAATTATTTTTTTTAGTTGTTACAGCTGTTGAAACGGCTGTCTGACTGAATACTGGGCGTGCTACCCTAGATCTAAAGGCAAAGCCAAAGCCTACATTACAAAAATTACAAATAAATAAGCTTGCTTAACTTTTTTGTTGTTGATGTGAATGGCTGCCACTTGATCTTAGAATGTATGTCTTGTGTGCAAGGCTCAAAATACACGGGGGTGGTAGGCGATTCGCCCCCGTGAGCTTCCTAATCACCTCTGTCAGATTGCTCACGGGGGCGATTGCAAAATTAAGATTAATAAAATTAATAAAGATGATCTTTATTAATAAAATTAATAAAGATGATCTTTTCTGTTATAACTCTCACACAATATTCAGTAGGGGCGCTGGTCCGAGAATAAGGATTGTCTTCATAAACGAAGATCATCTTTGTAAACGCGGACCAATGCGTCCTCAAAAAAGCAGATGTTCCATATTTTTGATCGGCATATTGGCGATGCAAAAAACGGATTCTGGGATGATTTTCTTGATGCATTTTACATTGACTTTGTACAGGGAATTTCACATTATGAGCAATAAATCCTTGGGAAGATGGACATCCCATAAAAGCAGACGGTCAACTAGGGATATTTTCCTCTGGGGAATCCAAATTTTGCATTGCCAGCGGAAGGTTCGGTAACCCAAAAACTGCAGAGCGCTGATAAAAAAAAACGATCCTTGTTTATGAGGACGCATTTGTCCGCGTTTATGAGGATATCCTTCTTTATGAGGACGATCCTCATTCTCGGACCAGCGCCCCTGCTGATATTGAGTTCAACTTTCAAACATTAAACCAATGAAATGGAATTATGGAAATAAGGTTAGCGTGCAGGATTTCTCGCTCTAATTTTTCAGTGTCTAGAGGCTGCCATATTGTAAACAAATGAACGCTTTTTCGCAGCAAGATTGCGCTATATCTCCCATCGACCATCTCCACATCTCTATAAAGAGTTTTTCAGATACAAACAACGGAAGCTCGCAGTGCACTGCGGCCATCAGCAGTTGCTATACTAGCTGTGCCGATAGTATAGTGTGCACGCTTTTGCCCCATATCTGCTGGAGCTAGATAGAGGCGATCGCGCAAGGACCGAAACATGGAGAAGTTTTTCGTTGTGAAAATCATGAATCTCCTGAAATCTGGTGATTCCAAAAGACCAGCAAATAATGAACCTCGACCAGTAAATCAACCGAAAGCTAAATTTAGTAAAAGGAAACCAGTTGGCGAGGAGACTCTACGGGCTTGGACCAGAAATTTCGTACAGAGGGAGGAGATCTGACCATTAGCTGCATGTTATAACTTGTGAAGTTGTAAGAGGGAAATAATGCCGATAATGATGAAATAGCAAAGAATTTAGGAGTATCATGGGCACCACCAATTCAATGGAAATTTGTATTAAAAAAAGAGGCCCCGTCAGTATTAAAAGCTCTATTTTGTTGGAAGAGCCTTCATGGACAAAAAATTAATTTGAGCCCTGCTTGTGTGTGTGTGATTTTATTTCATACTTGTATCTTTTAAATCCAATTATTTTTGTGTGGGAACTGACCCTACACGTGCACGTAGAACTTTTCACACTGAGCGCTGTACAGTGAGTTAACACGCTCCCATTGGCCGATCCTCTTGAGCAGTTTTAAATTGAAGTGAAGCACAATGGTGCTGACCAAACACAATCTTACTACACACTGACATGTCATGCTTTATACAGGTGACGCACTTCACACATCTACAAACAAATCTACGAACATTTCAGCACAACTTGCCAGTTTGTATGTTAAATATGAAGAAAAAAATGAAAACTTAAGTAAGACATTGAATATGCTGAAGAAATCATACAAAATCGAGGTTTGACTGGAATGTCATGATTTTGGTATCGGATCAAATGGAAAATCGCAAGCTTTCTCCACGCACTAATGTCCTTATCACCTTGCACAATTCCTTGTGAGTTATCATGCTGAAATAGACTCAAGACTTTAAATGCCATTTTCTTTTAAAGTAACATTCTATAAGACTGGACATTGTTCTCATTTTTGATTTGGTTAGTAACATCCAATTATGATGAGTTATATCATTAATATTTTAAAGCCGAGGAACTCCTTTTTTAGAATCATACCTAAACTAAAAAATCATATCTGGCGAGTGACGACTTCTCTTGAGGTGGATCTCTATCCCCTTGATATCGTGACATTTTCAGGCTCTAGCATTGGGACGGCGGTCCTGCTCCTTTAAAAACGTTACAGCAAGTCAGCAAGTTCAGTAATGACTACCTACATGTACCTAAACTAAAAAATTATATCTGGTGAGTGACGACTTCTCTTGAGGTGGATCTCTTTCGCCTTGATATCGTGACATTTTCAGGCTCTAGCATTGTGACGGCGGTCCTGCTCCTTTAAAAACGTTACAGCAAGTCAGCAAGTTCAGTAATGACTACTGCAGTGTATTTATGACACAGCATTCTTTTCTTTACTATGGATCATAGGTTTGAATGTATTTTGATAAAAGAGCAAGACTAAAATGGAAGAATCCAGAAAGGTGTATGACACAGCATTCTTTCTCTACTATAGATCATAGGTTTGAACAGGCGTGTACGCAGCAGGGGGTTTAAAAATAATGTGCTCTTAACCCCCCCCCCCCCCCCCCCCCCCACTTATTCAGCGGTTGGCTGAGAGGTTGCGAAATTTTCGGCTCGATTTAAAAATGTTAAACCCCCCTCCCCCCTTAAAAAATCCTGCGTATGCCGCTGGGTTCGAATGTATTTTGATAAAAGAGCAAGACTTGAAATAGAAGAATCTAGAAAGAAGGTGTGTGGACCTACACTGACTTAGCAAGAAGTGGGAATGAAAACATAACATGACCTTTGAACTGTAACATGAAAGTATACAAACTCTGTGTTTGCCTATCTCTAGAAAATGCAAATCATTCTAGAAGTTCAGGACTTTGGACATGGTTATTCCTTTGCCTCTTTTTTGTGTGCAAGTTCAGGCTAAAATTTGATTATAAATTACAAGCATGTGTCAGCCAATTCATTAAGCTTGGACTGCAGTATCTGCATGGGGCCACATCTCTTGTGCTGGTTGAACAAGTGGAGTAATTCACTGGGACATTTAGTACCCCACACGTTTGGAGAATTTTTCCCCCAGGAAGTAGTTTTTCTCTATTAAGAAAACCGGATCGCTTGATGTAATCTTCAAGTGTTACGTACTGACGAGAGTCCCCCTGATGTGTATTCTTTCTGTTTGTATTTCCCTGCCTCAGACACTATGAACGAAGAGAGGCCACCGTTTTACGTGGCCCTGGCTGCCGGAGCCATTGCTGGTGTGTCTGTCGATGCCTCCCTCTTCCCAATCGACACTGTCAAGACACGTCTTCAAAGCTCGCAGGGTTTCTGGAAAACTGGGGGATTTCGCGGAATTTACTCTGGTATCTTGCCTGCCTTTTTAGGCTCTGCCCCATCTGCCGCGTTGTTCTTTAGCACGTATGAGGCGACAAAGTTTGTAGGAAACAAATACATCCCGCGGCGGTATGATTCCCTTGTCCACATGGCTGCAGCATCGTGTGGCGAGGTCGTGGCATGTTTGATACGTGTACCAGTAGAGGTGATCAAACAGCGTGCTCAAGCCACTCGCCAAGCAAGCAGCGGTATCTTCCTCCGTACCGTACAGAGCGAGGGAGTGGGCGGACTCTACCGCGGCTATTTTGTGACACTTTTACGAGAAATCCCCTTCTCCCTGATCCAGTTTCCCTTGTGGGAGTTGACCAAGAAGCTGTGGACTGGTCATCAAGGACGTCCGGTAGACGCTTGGCAGTCGGCCGTCTGCGGGTCCTTTGCAGGAGGCATTGCAGCTGCAACAACCACCCCACTTGATGTTGTGAAGACAAGGATTATGCTATCATCGAGAGAGAACGGTCCAGCTACAGTTGTATTTTCTAAAGTTGCTAGGGAGATACACAAGGAGAAAGGACTAAGAGGACTGTTTGCTGGCATTGTACCTCGGGTTATGTGGATATCGATAGGAGGGTTTGTGTTTCTAGGCATGTATGAAAAGTCTAAGATAGTAATGCTCCAGCTTTCATAAACAGGGATATATTCTCTAGAAAGTGATCAGCTTTGTTTGTCCTGAAGACTATGTCCAACTATTACATGTACCTATGGGAAGCAATCCCCTTTTATCTCTGCTAATGAATAGATTTTGCTGCAGTTTACAAAGCAATTGATTCTATGCGAATCAAGACTTATGATAGTGATACGTGTATAAAACAGAGTCACATGATCTCACATCACACCAGTTCTCAAAGCATTCCATTGGTTGCCCATGAGTGAATCCATTGTGTTTGCTTTTGTTTTGATGTGACCATAGCTCTTCTTCACGGTAAAATGTTACTTTGATAAATCGCTACATTCCATCTTGATCTTTATGCTCTTGATTTCTTGTTCTTTCTAAGCTAAATAGAAAGTGGGTGAAAGAACCTTCGCTGTGGAATGCTCTCCCTCGAGCGATTTGTAATAGCAGATTAGTTGGGAGTGTTCAGAAATAACCTAAAAGGGATGATTGATTTGACCAAGGAGTTAAGACTAAGAGGAAATCCTTGATTTTTATATGATTAATCATTCTCTTTGGGTTTTTACATTCTAAACTAATCATGTTGTAATTTTGTTAGGGTATTTTCATGTGATTTTTACCTTTTGCACAACCACATCTTGACTCTCTTGAGCATTTGATTAATTTGTAACTTATGAATGTACAAAATCTGCTTGTAGCAATCTAGCAGCTTCATGAATGGTGTGACTGACTGTTTTTGAAATTATGTTATCAAGTAACAAACTACAAGGATATTCATTTACAGTAGGTACTGCGGTTTTAACTAGAAACATTTTTCCTGAATCATGTATTGAAAAATTTGCCAGTATTTAAGAAATGTGTGATAATGTCAGAAAGATAATCCAGAAAATTTAGCAGTGCCATATATGTTCCTGAAGAAACATTTTGAAGAAACATCTTAGGTATTATACACCAAATGATAGGTGTAACTCTATTTTCTTTGCAGTTGAGGCCCTCTTTACTCTTTTTTTTAAAACAGGGAAAGTTGTAGTTTAGAATATTGATTGTACATGTAGTATGTTTCAGTTTCAGTACAAAGCAATTTTTTAGCTGTGCCTGTTATATGCCCATTTCGTTGTTGCTTTTAGTCATTTATTTTTTGAATATTTTTGTAAATCAATCTGAAGGATAATAAGTCATCTCAGGGAAAAAAATAATATTTATTTTTCGGGGGCTACTTTTCAAGCTTGCCTGCATAAAAATAACACTCTAAAATTTGTTTTGCATTGAACTCTATGCAATTTACAGGGGCTCTTTTCTGATTTTCGGGGGCTCTTTGGGGCATTTCGGGGGCAAATTCGCCCTGAGCCCCCATGTATTTTTTTCACTGAGTCATCTACCATTGAAAGAATTTTAAATAATCTTTTCATGTTTACGGTATATGAAAATGATATATCATGTACCGGTATACAACTACATGTAGTATATTTCATCTGGAACTTTATAGGAGTGTAACTTCCATTTTTTTTAGAGCTCCCATATTTTTGTCTTTTTATTTGTTTGTTTGTGTGTTTGTTTTACTGCTATGCCCTGATTAGAAAACTCATCGAATAGAGATATGCATTTCTTGTCTAAAAGAGAGAAAAAAAGGAAAAATTACTGCTTATTCATGTAGGCCTACGTATTTAAGGTGCATGAAAACAAAATTGGTAATCAGAGGTTACCATTCAAATTAAAAGTTATTTACATTATGTCAGTCTATTGCTCTTTTATTTTGGGTATTTTGTCTTATTTTGGGTCTTATTCTCAGTTTGAAATCCATACAATATGAAATACAATTACATGAATACATTACATGCTACATATACATGTAACAGTTGCAAGTCCAATTGTTCTTGTGAGGTGATTTAAAATGAAAAAATGAAAAGAAATATTGGTAATAAGAGGTTACCATTCAAATAAAAAGTTATTTACATTATGTCAGTCTATTGCTCTTTTATTTTGGGTATTTTGTCTTATTTTGGGTCATATTCTCAGTTTGAAATCCATACAATATGAAATACAATTACATGACTACATATTAAATGAAGTTTATTACATGCTACATGTACATTAAATGTATAACAGGACATAGAATATCGTGACTCACAATATCACAAGCATAAATTAAGGTTTTGTCCAGGATTTGTAATTCAACATTACAGTTGCAAGTCCAAATATTCTTGTAAGGTGATTTATTATACTAGCTATAGAACCTTTACAGTATTAGCCTATTAGGGACTAACATTGTGTGTATTATTCTTTGGATAAAGGGCACAATATAATATTTTTATTTATTATTCATATATGTGATCTTTAGCAACACTAATACATGCAAATGAATGATACAAAATAAAATCATTTTGTGTCATAACATTTATTGCCAAAGAAGAAGCACCATTTTAAATGGGATATCAGGAATTGATAAATAACCTAGAAGTCAAGGAAAATAAAACTAAGACAACAGATTTGAATATTACTAAGTGGAGGAAGATAATTACTGATTATTACGATCTGCTATCAATTAAGTAAATAGAGATATATTTTTTGATTTGATCTCATTTAATCATGTGATTAAGTGTTTTGTTATGAATATTTACATGTATATAGGATGTTATCCATGATTTTATCTGAATAAAGATTTATTTCAACAACAACAAAAACAAAATTATGCAAAAGCATGAAGTTAGGAGACCAAACAATGTACATTGTAAGCCTATATGGTCAGAAAGCTAGAGAGAAGAAATAAGTAGAACTACAAGACTTTAGTCTTATCAATTGCTTTGGAGTATCTGATCATTTTCTGCTACTGGTAAACTGATGAGAAAGCATGTTTAGCATCCCTGCCTACTATAAAAATATAAAATATAAAAATATAAAAATTAAATATTATTATTATTATTATTACCGGTACTTCCTTTTTAGGCTGCTTGCCTTATTTGAATTTTTTATAGACAAAATATATTTTATTCATTGAACTTTTTGCACTGAATCATTAGTTGCCTCTCGGTCCACAAAAAGTCAGTACCGGTATGTCCATTCGAGACTCCTGACCTGGGCCAGTCTTTTCAAAAAAGAGTTGAGCAGGCAATTGGAAAGAAAGGAAAAGTGCTTCCTCCTTCCTTTATTTAAAAAAAGCAGGATGCTAAACATGTGTTTTCTCATTATTTTGCCTCAGATATGACTTGTGAAGAATGAGCGATCAGATCCCGTCCCTTCCCGCGGCTCTCCTGGCTGGAGGCGTGACAGGAACCATTGTAGACTCCACCCTCCATCCCATCGACACCATCAAAACCAGACTACAGTCCCCCGGTGGCTTGTGGAAGGCCGGTGGCTTTCGAGGTTCTTTCGCCGGTATCTTGCCCGTTCTCTTGGTCACGGCTCCCAATTCTGCCATATTCTTTGGCTGCTATGAGACTGCGAAAGCACTTGGTGATGCCCATCTCCCGGCCAAGTATGAGCCATGGATTATGATGTCCGGTGCAACGGCCGGGGAAGTGACTTCCCTGTTGATACGGGTTCCTGCAGAGGTTGTCAAGCAACGTGCGCAGGCGTCCAGGATACCCAGCCTGGCCATCCTGAGTGATATCCTCAAGCAAGACGGTTACAGAGGCCTTTACAGAGGATTCGCCAGTACTGTCTTGAGGGACGCACCATACGCCTTTGTGCAGTATCCTCTATGGGAACTCTGCAAGAGGATATGGGCAAGGCAACAGGGATATCCAGTGACGGTGTGGCAGTCGAGTATATGTGGTGCAATAGCGGGTGGGATTGCAGGAATCATCACCACACCCTGTGATGTGGTTAAGACGCGTGTCATGCTTGGAGGTCAAGGGTCGAAGGGTCACATTGATCGTATTCCAGACATCTTTAGGACCCTGCTCAAGGAGAAGGGTGTGAGGGGGCTGTTTTATGGAGTTGTGCCTCGATTCATTTGGATGTCCGTTGGCGGTGCCTACTTCCTGGGACTGTACGAATTGTTCAAAATTGAATTCATGCAATATAAGGGATGGAAGAATAACAATCAATCATGAAATTAGAGAAATGACCCAATTGTTTAATATTGTGAGTTGATTTTGTTGTTTAAACCTACATGTATGTCAACTCCATCATAGGATGTATTTGTAATGATTTATATTTTTACATTCCTGACTGACACAACAATCATGTTCATTCTTATGCTCCAAAATCTAATTTCCTACCAGGTACCCATTTTCTGTACCTCATCTGGGTCGAGTGTGGCAAATGTAGATTAATGTCTTGCAAAACGACTTTAGTGCTGCAGCGGTACTCGAACCACAGACCTTGTGATCCACAGTCCGGTGACATATCCACTCAACCACAAAACCGCTTATACATGTATATCAGATTATCAATAGCTAAAGGGACTACCAACTCTACATACATTTTATTATTTATATCTACTCTAGTACAATTTTGAAAATATCCTAATAAGTTCATAATCTTTAAAAAAAACCTTTGGATATCATACCAGCCAGTGATATTAGAACGAAATGGTAAGGATTTGGTAGATTTCTTCGTTACCTATTAATTCTAATGTCACACAATATCTTACAGAGTTTTCTGAATGGGCTATTTTTACAAACATATATTTTTTCAATGAGTGTAATTTTCTGATTTTCAATGTACTATCCTTTTCCAAGGTAGATAAATCATTCTCTCTACTTACTATAAAAACCTGGCAGATTTGTCACTAAAGTTTCACGTGTCAACATAATTGGATCAATATATGACTCACAACTTACACCACACTAGGCTTTTGTGATTCATGGAAGTTTTCATGAAATGGCTGCACTTCAAAATTTGTGATCCTTTCAAGTTTCTAGTTATACAGTATTCTCTCTTTCCCCCTGTTTGTAGTGAACTGTATCAATTGTTCCATGCAAAACATATTCCATTCATGTTTGGAAGGGAAGTGGAACTTGCCAAAGGTACCTCTGATAATGCAGCTGGATGTATATATATATATAGCTCTAGATTATAAACTTAAAATTCATTCCTTTGAAATGTGGTTCTCGTTTCCTGAAAACATTGTAAGTCGAAGTACCCAACATCCGCAAAAATCGTTTTGACTAGATTACATCATTAATCATTAAGACTTGCCTTTATACAGACTACTGTACAGCCCTCTGTGCTATAACATTGACATTGTTGCCCTTTTATGTTTTTTGGATATTTCTTTTTTCTTTGAGAGGAAACCCCATATGTATACATGTAGGTTTAGGCTAGATCAAAGAGAAGGTTGAGTTCTGGGGAGAGGTGAAAAATAATTTGTGAGCATTATCATTGTTATTATGCAAGTGTGGAAGAACATCAGAGGAAAAATGTTCCCTGAAAAGCATGGCTCTTAAAATTCCTTTATATTCTAAATGTGACAGGTAACAACTTTAAAATGAGGCCCCATTTTATGCCACATGTTGGTATAGTCCCATATATATAGTACTTGTTACTTTACCAAGACTGGGCCAAATTTCTTATCATTTTGATGATTCCAGAACCTTGCAGTACACACCAATACTTATATGCTAGATGATCAACCTTTTCTGATCCATTCCACACCTTTTCTTACACAATGCAATCACATGACCAGAACTCAACTTTATCTTTAAGGATAAAGGTTAGGTTTTGGTATTACTTATGCACATTTAAGCATTATATTTAAGAGGTCCGATGCCAATGGATCAATTCAAGGACTACATGTAGCGTGTGCTCTGATATTTGGTGGCTCCTACCTCTACCTTTGCATTGCTTATGATAGAACCATTGTATAACCATGATCCATTACATGTGCAATATTCATTTATTCATTCAAATTGGTTAATTCAAATACTTTCCTCATGGCCACAAGGCCAAATTGCAAAGTTTTACAATTACACTGTCACTTCAAGATGTACATTAAAAACATTGATAATAAAATTGGCATTTAAATCATATGCCTGCTGAATTAAGTAAGGTAAAATATGACGATAGAGGGAAAAGGATATATATCCAACAATGATGAAAGAGAGAGGGAGATCAAGGAGAAATAAAAGGGGAAGAAAGAATATAATAAGGAGACATGAAGTGAGATGAAAAGATGTGTGTGAGGAGAGAGATAATAATTATAATAATAATAGTGGCTACTTGTATAGCACACAGGTCCACCTTTCGGTGCTCATGGCGCTTAGAAAAGAGTACATGTAACAGGCATCAGAAAGAAAAAACAATAAACCGAAAAACAAATTCGGAATTCTCCTAGACATAGTAAATTAGAATATTGCAATAATTACAATGAAAGAAACAAATAGGTTTTTAGTTGTAATTTGAATGTTTCTGTCGATGACAGTTGACGTAATTTTAGAGGGAGCTTATTCCACAGTTTTGGACCCATGGCTGAGAAAGCCCGTTCCCCCCAAGCATGTTTTATTCTGGGTATATTAAGTAATAGTGTGTCTGATGAGGAGCGAAGACTTCATGTGGGGTTGTATTTTGAAACAGAGTTGCTCAGGTAGATGAAGATAGATAGATAAGAGAGAGAGAGAGAGAGAGAGAGAAGAAGAAGAAGATAGAGAGAAGGATAGAAACAGAGGAAAAAGGAAGAGTTAAAGGAGTGACATGAATATACAACAGATGGTAACTTAAACAAGATGCAAGAAATAACAATCCTTGATATCAAGATACAAGTGTAATCTTAAAATACAAAAGGCACATGTATAAGTATAGACTCGCAAAATTAGTAAAATCTAACTATTTTAAAGAGCACTGACAATAGTGATGTCGGTGTTTGAAGGTAGTAGTGTCCATGAACATCAATTTATTTGTGATTTTGACTTTTGATAAGCTGTGCAAATGTTTGATAGAAAATTCCTAAATATGTCGGTAAGTCCTTTTATAGTTCTTTGAGCAGTACAAGAAGTTTTGGAAAGCAGAGACAAACGTTACGCTAAAATCTGCAACATTATGCTTTTTATTTTTTAAAGTGCATTGTTACGTTTGTGTTAAAATAGATATTATCTAGCCATCCATAATATTGTGTGTTCATTCATTGACCAGTGGAATGTGTGTGGAAAAAGTGGATATGAATATTAAAATACAAGTGGAAAATGTCAATCTTTTATAGTTGTTTTTATTTCAACAACAGTGTTTGCAATCAAATGGTCACATCTGAGCCCTGTTTCATAAAAGTTTATTTTCAAAAATGAATGCTAAATTTCTATGACAAATTTGCTCTCATCCAAATAAATGCAATGATTTCACAAGCTTAAAATAGTTATTATAATTTGTTATTGATAACAAGTTTTATGAATGTTTTTCAAATGTGCCTTCTGAGAATACATATTATGAAGTAGCAAAATTGTTCATGTTTTGTTTGGAATAGCCTAAAGATTCTTTTGAAAATAGCAAAGAGGTTCATTAATTTTTTTTTTAGATAGACTGAGATGTTACAACTATACAATACATTTAAAATACAGGATCTTTAAAATTTGATAGGTCAGTCTATCTATTCATCTATTTCATATATATATGATACTTTATCAGTCTGTCTATCTATTTTATGTTGTCTTTTTTTCTCTAGATCTGTCTCTCTATCAGTGGGTGTTTGTGTGTGTGTGTGGGTGCATACATGCGTGTGTGTGTGTGTGCGCGTGTGTGTGTAGGGGGGGGGGTTGCATAAATGTGTGGGTGTGGAGGGGGTGCATATGGGTGTGTGTGTGCCTGTACAGTGCTTATGCGATCATTCATCTCCCATTTGTACTTTTACCCTACTTTCCATTTTATTTTCTATTTAAATAGGCAAAATTTGAATGAAAAATCAATGATACCTTCAATATAAAATAAAAGAGATATGGACAAGGGATTGCTGTAAATGAAAATGAAATTTAAGATATCAACAAATTTGCTCACAATGCTTGTTTTTGTTCATTTTTAGATTAGGCTAAAGGATATATCCCTGCTTCTCTTTCAAAAAATAAATATGTTGCAACTCATAGTTTGAAACAACTCCTATCAAAAAAGTTTTTCTTCAACCGAATCATGCCATATTTATAGACCCAATATTCTTTCTTCTAAATAAAACATATCAGTCATTAGGCCCTACCGTTTCTTCAAAATGCAATGTAACATACTTGTAATATACTTGTGATAAATTTACAAATCTTGATTATTTGTATATGAGGACTATGGTGATGATTAACAGCTATTACCTAGATCCACATTTTTAGTTATCCCCCAAATGCCTGTGGCATATACTTCTGCCATCTCCTGGAGCAGCTTACACCCTTACGCAGTTCAAAAGGGAGCTAGAAGGAGTCACACTGGGGTCAGAGTAGATGGTACACAGGGGACATTTTTACTTGCAAAAGACACTTTCTTAGTCATTGAATATTAGAAGGACAGATGCGCATCCACACCCTTCACAATTCACACGGCATAAAAGCACCGCATGAAGTACGAAAATACTCTATTTAAGAGGCCGGTACTCGACTGGAAGAAGAAGAATAAGGAATGCATGTTCATGTATAATCAGTTGCATTAAAATGAATATTGAATTGATTCATTGCAATAAAAGAACAAGCAGCTGGAAAGCTGAAATTGCTAAATTTACCAATTGAAAGTACAACAAAAGAAACTATCAAAATATGAATGACTAAAACGTACAACCATAAATCATGCATAATGAACTATATAAAACTCTGAAATATTACATACAAATCTAAATATATTGAAACTTCTGTGTCATCAAAGGTAAGAGGGAAAGGAGAGAGAGACGAAACTAGAAGGAAGAAGAGGAGGGAGAAGAAGAAAGAAAGAAAGAAATATTGATTAGAGAATATATAAAAGATTAGAGAGGGGTATAGAGATGGACAGAGTAGAAAATGAAAAGGAGAATGAGGACCATTCGTATCCATTACAAGGTGCCTATTAAAAGAATCTGACCTAATTTCCAACATTTTTTTCCCTCTCTGTCTTCTTAATCTCCTCGCTTCATTGCCTGTAGTCTGTGACGATCCATACCGATGTCGGTGATATCAAGATTGAGCTGTTCTGTGACCAGGTGCCCAAGTCCTGTGAGAACTTCCTAGCGTTGTGTGCCAGTGATTACTACAACGACTGCCTCTTTCACAGGTTTGTGGTGTTATCCTTGTTAAACCATGATACAGTGAAACCTGTCTATAAAGACCACCCAAGTGAGTCAAGAAAAGCAGTCTTTATAGGCAGGTGGTTTTTATGTACAGGTTCCTTTAGTACATGTTTCATTAAAAAACAATTTTCAAGGGAAACAAAAAATGTGGTCGTTCTATACAGGTTGTCGCTAAAGCAGGTTTGACTGTACATGGGTGTTGCGAGAATATTTTTTCCGAGGATTCTACCAAACAAACTTAAAGCTCATAAAAGCATAAAAGCCTGTCTGAAATGACATTGCTTGCAGGTTGTGATAGTAACAAGAGTTCTTTGACATCAACATGAACTGTTATCCTTTGTTTGCTAATTTGTGAATTCCTGAACTGCCAATATAGTTTGATATGCAATATATAATATGATCTGTATTAAGCAGACATTTGCTCATTGCAAAAGTAGACCACAGCAGAAAAAAAGCCTATGTCCTTATTGTATCACATTTTCTTGTATTGCCAGGAGTGTAAAATATGACAGCTTGAGCACTTTACAAAAATCCACTACTGCTACTACTACTACTACTATTATACCACTACTAGTAGGCTACTACTTCTGTAACAACAACAACTGCTACAACTATACTTTTACTACTACTACTACTACTACTACTACTACTGCTACTACTACTACTACTACTACTACTACTGTTACTGCTACTTCTACTTTTACTACTACTACTACTACTGCTACTATTACTGCTACTACTACTTTTACTACTCCTTATACTACTACTAGTACTACTACTACAATAACTACTGTTGTTGCTATTATTATTATTATTAATGTTATTATTACAACTATTATATTTTTTCAGGAATATCCCAGGTTTCATGGTGCAGACAGGCGATCCGACAGGAACAGGGAAGGGAGGAATGAGCTGCTGGGGAAAGAAAATAGAAGATGAACTTGTTGACGACTTGAGGGTAAGGTAGTAAAAGAGATGCAGTTTTGAATAAGAGAGTGAGGAAAGTGAGTGAGTTGATGATTGTTGGCCTAAACAATTGAAGGTTAGTCATTAAAGGGATCTGGTAACTTTGTCTCAGATTCTGAAACAAAATCCTGGATTCAGCTCATGCTGCCAAATTTTGTGTTTGCCTAAC